GTTTTCGACCGAAATTGATACCTAAAGTGTATCAAAAGTGCTTCTGAACGTGTTTCGCAATTGGGTGTGGTGAAATTCGTACATTCCCGACTGATTTCCAGTGGAAATTTTGTATCACAAAATTGCTCACCGAGTTCCTTTTTTTTCGCCGTTCTAGACGACGGGTTTGCTTTCGCGAGAGTGACGTTTATTGGATCCGTTTCTTTGCACGGGTGTGTTTCTTGTAACCAGCGGTGTGTAAGTGTGCTTGTGATTTTTATTGCGTACCGGAAGGCCGGGTCACCGTGTTCGGATGTTACGCTTTCGGCGTGTAGGTCTATCGAGAGTATCGAGAGTCACCGTGTGCGAGTTTGAACACGGTACGGTTGGTAAATTAGCTAGGGAAAGTGCTGATAATGTGTCCGCCGCGAGTTTTGGTGATGATTCGGTGGCCGACGTTGCCGTGAATTAGTGAGTTTACGGCTTGCAAAAGTGCTCGTCTGCTGGTCTCTCGCCAGTGTCGGAGATTGTGAGCAAGCTGAAGGATGCCTCGTTGGATACGCCCAAGACTGGATGGGTGGTAGCTGCTGGTCGTGAGCGGTTCCTGGGGAAAGCACTAACGCGAACCTCCTCCTAGATGACCATGGCAATGCAGGAAGTAAAACGCTGAAACTATATGAATTATCACGTATTTCTGTTGTTCATTACATACCAAGCGAAATTCGATAACGTAATTTCATTTGAATAGCTTGTTTAACCAGGGCCTAAACAATCGTCACGTCAGTCATAGCTTGTTATGATTTCCTGAACCATGTGTAAAGAGCAAATCGAAACAGTGAACGTCGCGTGAAAGTGGAACTTAATGAAGGCCTAAGTACTCTTTCGTAGCTTTTAGTTTTCGGATTTGAAAGATCGTCGGTTGCAATGGCTTGCTTACTGAGCAGAAAAACGCGGTCCCAGATCCTTTCATATTAAAAATGTATGGCTTGTTTATCGTGTATTTTGTAAAACTTTTCGTTGACGTCGGTGGCGGGTTTGAATAGTTACCATATAACAACTTGAGTAACGGTATAATGTGATATGAGGGGCTCGGTGGCCTTAGAGCAACCGTTTTTGCTTATTGAACAAAACATCATGAGTCTAATCTCTAGCCCATCCACATTCAAGATTCGTCAATCGTTTTATTTGTTAACATGACTACATGGTAATAACAGCAACTCGATCTGCCTAGTGGAAAACGTTTTTGCTTACTAAGCAGAAGACCGTGGGTTCAATATCAAGCTCCAGCGCGTTATATGATCGTTAGGACATCAATTCAGCTTATCGTTTACCAAAACGAACCCTGCTGCTAACGCAACCCTATTACCTAATATCCCAGTGATTCTTCGTGGAAGTGCAGAGGTGTTCTCGGCTTCCATCGAAGCGAGTGTCACGTCAACACATTCCTACCCCTTCCTTTCTTGACCTGTGTTCGGGTGCGGCCGGCGCTGATATGACCTAGTTTGAAATCACCAGTTTTTATACATTGAGGATGATTGCTAGTCCCAAGCATCGTCTATCGGTTCTCTGTGTAATTACAGCTGGTCTAGCAATAACAGAGTAGCAATCGTGGGCGATAAATCATGCTCATACTCATGCTCATCATGATAAAAGTTGGACTCTAACAAAACGAAATGTTGATTTTTGCGTTTTGAATGAGGTGTGAAAGCTGCCTTCCTGCACATTCGATTGCCGTCAATTGATGGCAATCGATGTCCGTTTGTGATTGGCACTAGATTGCGGAACAGAGCCCGACGTTCAATAAAGAAAAGAAGAAGAGAAACAGTTTATAATTTAAAAGGCGAACCAGCCCAAGGCTGAAAGCCTCCCTAATAAAGATAAATAATAATAATTTATAATTTAAATAGAAAAGCACCTCAAAACGACGAAATGGTAATAAAAACCTGGCTGCGGGAAATCCCTAAATAATCATGAAAACGAAAATAAATAGTTTAACTTGCCTTCAATTACCAAAATGGCCAAGCATAGCTTTACAAACGTCAATGCAATTTAAGATGGCGTATTTCGGTTTAAGAAAAAAAAATGTTTAATGTGGTATTTTGGGAATGGAAATTACATGTAGAGGCTAGGAAGTGAAGGTTAACGTAATTTTGAAATGCAAGATAACAGCTTCCAGTCTAACATAAAAACTTCCGGTTTTGTAAATTCCAGTTGGGTGATTTCCGGTTTTTGAAAAACTGACAAATACGCATCAATATGGGTATTTTCAGAAAAAAAACTAAGAGTAAGTGTAAACCGGACATTTATGACTAGTGATTTTCTTAAATCCATGAAGGAGACTTCCGCTTTTAGATAAATTGCTAAATATCCTACAATACGGATTCGATATATTGGAAAGAGAGATGACAAATTGATTATTGGCGCCAAATAAGAACCCAAAATGATGGCTTCCTGTTTCTAAACTCTAAGCTGTTTTTTGCAAAACTGACAAATATTCAAAAATATAGAAATTTTCGGAACGTGGACGCCGATGCTTAACGTCATTTAGGAATCCAAGATTTCTATGGGCCCAACAATCGATGTTCTATGCTATTTTGAAATCCGATTGTTTGTAAACTGAGATAGTTCAAATGCGAATACAAAGCAAAATTTTTTTTGTTTGTACCGGAACAAAAATCGACAAAAAAGATCGACCCTGTCGATTTTTGGTATGTTTGAGATCGATTCAATAATTCCATTAATCGAGCCAAAAGAATCGATTTTTAAGTTTTCGAATCAAAACCTCTCTCCTGAAAAAGCCAAAACAAGCAACTATAACTAAAAAATGCCCAAATAATTAATTATTCACAAAAATTGAGCTGAATTTCCTAAATGATTTTGCAATGCCAAAAAAAAAAAATCAGAAGTTGTGACTGGCCATGTATTACGTATGGGGGGAGGGGCAGGTCTAACATAGGTAAAAATATGTTACGTCAATGGTCCTTTGGAGTTCACTGCAATCAACCAAACGGGTTTAGAATAGAAATGGGCCATGGTTGCCAGAATATATTTTCTATCTTGCAGATGTGGGCGAAGCCAGTCGAAATTGTTTTTTTTTTATGAATTATTATTTTTATAATATTTTTTTTCAGATTCTCATATAGATTTTAGACTCAAACGCAAATTTTCAGAATAATCCAACGAGAATTGAATTAGGTGCGTAGAAGGAAATTCGTTGAAAAACCGTAAAGTTTTGACCAAGGGATGGTAACTCTTACAAGAAATTCAATGAATATGAATAGTTAATTTCAATGGTATTACCATCATCATTTTTACTCATCATTAACGAGAAAACTAACACCTAAAATTCGTTATTAGTTTAGTTTACCAACGCTATTATATTACTAAACTGTCTACGTAGTTTATGAACAGGGCCTAAATCACTTTTTTACATTGAACACTATTTTTAGAAATCTATAAATGCACCCAATTGCGTCCATACTGTACTGACTGAAAGGGGCTTTCAAGACTCTTCTAAATATCCAAGTTTTGCTCAAGTTTGTGCTTCTATGTTAAAATTGATAATTTGTTTTGGGTTATATTTAGTAATCACCCTAGGATTTCAATTTAGTTTTGAGCTAGAGTGCTAAAAACGTTTAATGATATTGAAACAAATCAAGCTGAACATTGCTTTAAGTTCTAAGTAACATTGATCGATTCTCTTCATCGACTTTCTCTTTCGTTCATAACTTGAGCACATAACCGTTTCTTGATCAGGTTGACGTATTAGATGCTACTTAAAAGCTTTTTTTATCGATCTGTGAGCTGAAAATAAGTGGAAATGTCTTTACATGGCCGTGGGGATGCAAAGAGAAAGTCGACGAAGAGAATCTGTCAATGTTACTTAGGACCTAGTGCAATGTTCAGCTTGAAATCTAGGCAACGACAAAAAAAAGATACCATTATTATTTTTAACTTTAATTGATATTTGCAATAAAAAACCCCATCATACAATTTTTATATCTACCCTAAAGTATATGATTTTTAATTTCTTTCAGATTTTTTATAAATATCTTTACTGACGCTTTTTATATGGGGTCACCCCACTGTGAATTATTATGTCACGCTCAAAAGGGGAGGGAGTGTAAGATTATGTGACAAGCAATGCATAAGGTATAGGAAAAACGCGCCGAATAATAGGAGATGGTAATTTTTTACTCAATTTAGCGTGACATAATTAATGCATGGCTCCTTTACCTCGAATGCTGTTTCCCTGAATGTTACTCACCCGAACGCTATTACCATAGAGGTAACTCTAAGACTAGTAGGTCTCGAAGAAACGTGCTCATCTTTTTGGCTCAACTCTGGTACTATCTTCGGTCCCAAGCTAATCGATGCACCCCTTGAATTATAGGAAAATCTACGAACCCCTCATTTTATCTGTCAAACTTTCATAGTGAATAAAAAAAACATTGTATAGTACTAGAATTTTGACTAGAATAGGGTACGTTAATCGATTTGCTTGGGACCAATAGGCTAGTCAAGTAGTGAGCCAATTTAAAATCGTTTGTTTCCACCGGTTGCTATTACCCAAAATGGTCCCGACTGAGATGCTGCTTTCTTTTGATTGCTGCTCGTTCTTTTTACACTCGGAGTAATGTGGCACAATCGCATACAGAGAGATATTCCTTTTTCCCAATTCTTAGCTGCCTGAACTTTGGTACAAATTGGTAGTAAGAATACTGACCAAAAACAAGGATCAAGGAATCTAGAAAAAGATACCGGCTAAAACTCCATCCGCAAACAACGGTACCTCTCTGAACAACCTGTTAGTGAAATTGAAATCTTTCTGTGACATCCAAGCAAATTTACCGGCCCTCAAGAATGTTTGGGTGCCAAATGCCACCTTCCTCAGCCGCTGAGTACGGTGCTTGGTGCAAGAACTTCAGGCTGCGTGTCATCAATGTCAATCTCTGATTCATAACCTAACCATTTAAAATTTATGGATTTTCGAAGCGATAATGGAGGAAATGTTCCGTGTTTGTTTTTCAGAAAATAATTTTATTCAACACTTTTCGGAGCATTTTGAAAATGAAATTTACAAGAATATATTGCATTTCTACTGAAATTTCTCCTACACCCTAGGCATGCTATAAAAGAAAAATTTGAGTCTGTCTTACATTTTTACAGCTTATGATGTCGCCCGAACTATGTAGACGTATAAGATCTACAGGTTTCAACGAAGAATATGAACTAAAGGGGTTTCAAGATTCGTTTAAAAGTGGAAATAGCAAGCCTGTTGATCGAGCCATAAAATATAGAAAATATATACAAATTTGATACGCAATGGCAATGGGAATAATTTGTTGTTGAAAGTTTTACGTTAAATCGCTACAATATATGTCATACTGGTTTGATGGCAAATGGTAGAGTTTGTGCAACACCTAAATATAGCAGCAGTGTAAGTTCGTTCGCCACTCGGTTGCACAAAAGCTTGTTTGAGTAAAATAAAGGCACATAAAACATTTGCTTCGCTATACAGTTGCAAAAATAACCTGCTGTACAATCCTAATAATCTTATATATGAAAAAAGCATTCACTTACGTGCGTTCTGGTTGGAGGGCTTAAAAGCTATATATGTACTTAGAAATGGTCCACTTTGACGGATACGGTATGGGCCGCGGCATTGCTCGGCAGTTCGATGTTGTCCCAGTCGGTTTGTAGATGCTTCTCGCTATCCGTTGCCTTCAATGATATTCCAAGCGATGGTGTCCGGCCGGCACAGTGCGGAATGTTGAGTGTCACCGGTTGCAGGAATTCCGTTCCCTGGGGACCGCACATAACGAGCGGCGAAAGCATTGTTTCACCTGGAGATGATTTTTATGGTAAGGAAAACAAAACAAAAATGGATTTTAGCATTATTTTGTTTCAAGGATGGTAAATGGATTAGGCATTCGTAGAAGCATGCAAAGCAGGTGAGTTTAGGTATGCTTTTCAAAAAGTATATTTTTATGAATTCGGTTGAGTTTGAGAAAGTATGAGTTTTACAAAGAAGATATAACTGAGTCGATATAGACCAAGTTTAGACACGCTACGGCTGAAAGTCTCTTAAATAGAGAAAACCAACCAACTAAGTTTAGGCACACCACTTTGAGTATAGTCGATGAGTACAGCAGTGATAACCACTGTATCTTTGCTCATTGGTCATACTTTAAGCTGATTTATGCCCTGAAACCTATCGAACCCATCAACTAATGGGCCGGAGCCAACGGCTTTACTTCCTTACTTACTCGGCTGGGATTACTTTTACCACTCAACCACCGGCGCCGTCAGCAGGTTATTCATCATGCATCACAAATTTATATTAAAACACTTTAAAAAAATAGAAAAAATGTCTATTTGAGGACTGATTATTTCCTGCATTATGGAACCGAATGTTCCAGCATTATGGAACCGGATGTTCCAGCATTATGGAACCCGGATGTTCCGATGGCCACAATCGCTTTCTCATAGGGCCTTATTACGGGTGTCACTACACACAGCAAAAAATAAATTTTAATATTACATCCAAGAGGATGCACTTCAATCATGTCGAAAATCTAATGTAATTTTTATGGCCACAACAATAAACAAATGCAGTAAAAGCAGCGTAATGTCAGTTCATGCACTGTATTAATGACAATTTTATCCTTTTTGGCAAGTAATATTACACCATATTTTCGACACGATTGAAGTGCATCCACTTTGATGTGATATTAAAATTATTTTTTGCTGTGCACGGTGATAAGCAAGTGATACTCAGAATAAGAGCCGTGATTACCGTACAAATCAAATGGGAATCACTTCACCGTGACGACAAGTGACAAGTTTTCACCATGAAGTGACATCCGTAATAAGCCCCATAATACTAAGCACGCGACACATCAAATCACAAATGTGTATGAAATGATTTTCCGTATATTTTATAAATTTTCCAGATTATATGTGATTATTATTCTGAATGTTCCGGATGTCAGTTTTGGTGGCTACAATCGATTTTCGCTCCATACTAAGCTTCCGATACATCAAGTCACATTAGATTGATGTGTACGAAATTATTCTGCAGACATTTTACAAATTTTGCTGATAATATGTGGCATGTGATCTATTATAGGTGTTCCAGATACCGGTTTTGGGCCCATAATTGACTTTCTGATAGTACTAAAAAATGATCGCTGGCTACATATAATCAGAAAGATTTATAAAATATTAGCATTACCTTTACATACACATCAATCTGATGTGATTTGAGGTGCCACATGCTTAGAATCAGTGATGGATCACTCTTTTGGGACTTTTTTTATTACTTTTTATTATACCCCAAGCAACACACATGTTCTATAGCAGTCTATATAACCTTTATATGACTAATTTCGGTTGTAAAGTAGTTTACTCAACATAATTCTTGAATTTTGATAGGGAGCACTAAACTATGTATTATAAGATCACTGAGGCAAAAGAATGTAAGAATTCCATAAGAACCACTTATGAATTTTAGCCACAAGAAATCGGTATGAATTTCATTGATTTGCCCTATGAAAAATTATGTCTACAAAATAATAATAAAACGGAGCAGACTGGAACCGAACCATGGACGTTGCGATTACGTGTACGCGTCTGTCAATGCTTGGAAATGGAGTGGGTTAAAGGCGTATAAGAGCTACCTTATGTTGGACAAAAAAATTTCATAAGTCGCGCTTCCGAAATTCATATGTGTCGGGCCTTATGAAATTATTAAGTCTATGTGCCTCAGTGTGGGTTAACTGAATATTCAATTGGACTTAACGTAAGCATTCTATGAAAAAGTCTCAAAAAAGCGATCCAACCCTGCTTAGAATTATAAAAAAAGTTAATTATGGCCACCGGAACTGGATTCCGGAATAGATCGATAACCATATATAACCAGAAAAGTTTGTAAAATAATCACAGAATAATTTCATAGACATCAATCTAATGTTGCATATTTAGTATTACGAGGGTGTCCATTGTGGCCACCAGTTTGCTCTTTTGTGGCTTTTTCATTACTTTTGATTATATAATTATTAAAATCTGGTTGAATTTTCAGTTAACCCATCGTAAACCGATAGTTTAGTGCTATTAGTCTCCCTTTCAAAATGCAAAATTTCCGCACCGTACCGCCTCACTCTGAGTTTTCACTGAAGGTGCACTCGAGAGCGCTCTAAAGTGTACCTTCAGTGAAAACATAGAGTGTGGCTCTGCTATGGGGTAATTTTGATTTTCTTAAACTGTCTATATAAAGATGGGTTAACTAAAAATTCAATTGGATTTAACGTAAGCATTCTATAGTAAAAAGCAATGAAAAAATCCTAAAAGAGCGATCCATCCCTGGTGACCATCGAAACTGGTAGCCGGAACACCGAGAACTGGTAACATAACATCAGCAAAATTTGTAAAATATTCGTAGATTCATTTCACTCACATCAACTTGATGTGATTTGATCCAGGCTACCGGAACTGGATTTCGAAACATCCGGAATAGATCGATGGCAATATATGTATAACAAGTACAATTTGTAAAATATTCACATAATAATTTCATTCACATCAATCTCATGTGTCGCAAACTTCGTATTATGAGAAAGTAAACATCCGGGTTAGGTTACATAAAGTAGCAAATAATCAATAATTGTCCTCAAATAGACATTGTGTCTATCTCTTTTAACTATTTCTTGAATGCATTTGGGATACACTAAGAATAACCTGCATAGCTTTACTGCGGCCAAACATGACTTCTTCCGGCTTCGATTCCTAGTGGCCAAGCATACTAAATTGATTTTATTTTGCAAGCCAATGGAAAACTGCTTGAAAATTTTCTCAAGTATAGAATAGTTTGATTAGTTTTGATCTTACTCAGTTGATTTCCGATATCACGTGTATTTAGAAAACATCTTCATCAAGATCGACGAAATGTCTTCACAAGTCTTCACATCAAGAGCCACATGATAAAGGGCATTTTTGTAAACAAATCTTTGTAGGCACTTTTCTCGACACGCAAACCAACCAAAATCATCGGGAAGGGGAAGTTTCCCCTAATCGGTGATGTTGATGCATACAACTTCGTGTTGAATGTTAAAAATGTTCATGGAATTTTGTAGAAGTTTTAAAAAAATCGAAAAAGTTCAGCAAATAAGTAGTTTTATTTCATGTTAGGGAACTTCGTAGCAGTTTATCAGAAATCTTACTTCAAAAAAACTCAGCTAACTACCTGGATGTTTTGGGAACTTTCTCAAAATTTTGGGAAACTTTCCAGATGTTCGTGAATAAATGCGAGTAGAAAATGATGAGGCTTTTATTTTCGTAAGTTCGGTGGAGCTCATAGATGTTCCGAGATATTGGTAGAATTAAAAGAGCTTGGAAAAAAATGAGGCTTGAAAAAAGTTCAGGGAACTTCATAGATAGAGCGATAATAAAGAAAACTAGCTAAACTAAACTCATTGATAGATAGAAATTTTATAGATCTTAAGGGAATTTTATAAATGTTCAGGGTGCATTGTATAAGTTATAGGACATTCTCTCAGATATTCTTCCTACCCAGCAGCTTGATCAGAAGGTATTCAAAAGATCTCCAGATAGACGAAGATTTCAGTTAAGTCTTCTGGAATAATATCGCGCGACTTCAGGTTGAAGATTTCTAACTGTTCAACAATACAAACGACGTCTCTCAGATATTCTACCATGACGGCATCAAGAAATCTCCAGCTCATCGAAGACTTCAATCCAGTCTTCTGGATATTTTCCAAGATCAAAGTTAATTATACTGAAAATCTAAAAACCATAAATTCTAATGTTGTCTTTTCGATATTTTCTCACAATGGTAGGTAAATCAAAAAGACCAACAGCAAATCGAAGATTTCATGTAGATATTTTTACAAGACATTCACATGTCTGCTTGAAAGGCATTCGGAAGAATTTTCAATTGAGCAGTTCCATATATTATAGGCTATCATTCACATTTTTGCTCAAATTTGGCCATTTTGTATCTGTATGTTTTTTTTTCAAAATGCAGCCTTTGATAATTTTCATTAAATTTTAGCACGAAAGCGTTACTTCTGATCAAAATTAAGACACGGTAAATTTTTAAAGCAATTTGGTTAAACATACAAAACTATTTTTTTTTCAAATATCTCAAAATGTTCGTTACTTATCGTTCGTTATCACTTAAAAATTGACAAATTTTTTGAAGATTTTGGATGAAAAATGTTTGAACTTTTTATAAGTACGCTTTGTATGTAATTTTTACACCAGGCATAACATCTCTGATCATGCCTTCCTTCGAAAGGGAAGTAAAGCTGTTGGTCCCCGGTTCATGAGTTGATGGGTCGATAGGTAGGGTCCAGATGTAGGAGCTGCAAGCCTGGCGTCGGTAGCATTGGTGCTCAGCACGGAAAACAAATCAAGGAAAAAAGAAACGTATAGATTTTGATGCCAGCATGCTAGAATCCATATACAGTCACCCCAGTATTAGCCAGCTTGTACTAGTATGGATCAGTCTGCTCTGCGTGTTAATCAAATGGAAGTGGCTCATAATTGTGGGTGACCCATAATACTGAGGTGACTGTACACATATTTAAAAATGTCTGTATTTACATTGTAGTTGAAAAAAAAAATCCAAGGGCAACTGATCGAAAGGCAAAAAGACAAAAGCTTGAAGGGATAAAAAAAATCGAATGGTCATTACGTCGAATGCAAATTAGTGGGACAAAAAGTTGAATGGATTTAAAGGAACAAAAGCTAGAAATGAAAATAAAAACAAATGCGCAAAACTTCGAATGAAATTTAAAGGGACAAAAGATCGAATTCTCTAAATGTCGAAATGTACAAAAGGTCGAAGTGGTCGAATTACTTTTATCTGACTAAAACTAAACAAAATAACAAAAGGTAGGAAAGTCAATATACTAAGTAAATCATAGTTCGACTTTGAGTAATTCAACTAAAATACTTGTAAGTTATTTCTTACTCTTGTAGTTGACGCGTTCTTAATAGACCTAAACAACTTTGGCTCTCGCGGAAATCTTGAAAAACGTCATAATGATGAAGATTTCTAAATTTTGTCCTTCGTCCTTTTGTCCATTTCGACCTTTTGTCCTTCGTCATTTTGCCCTTTGTTTTTTGTCGTAGATAGTATAGTGCATGTAGCAATAAACTTAAATGTGAATTTACGTAGTGATTTGACCAAACGATAATCGGAAAACGAGATTCAACCAAATGGCTACATACCATAAGTCAATATTTGCTGGTATAGGCTAATCTGCAGCTAAAATTGTTAGTTAGATTGTCAGCGCATGTTATTGCCATTTCTGCATAATTTAAGCAAGGGTTTGTATTTTGTTTATGTGAGTAGCATATAAATGTGCATCTACCTATAAGTTGTTTTACAGATTAAACGAAATAAAAAGCTGAAATCTAAACCAAAACGCTAGACACGCAAAATCAATGCAAATGATCAGTTACACTAATCTAGGGTAAGGCAAGGTAAGTATAACATGCATATGAATAACAGTATCACACAAACACACGCACTCGCACACACACTCAAGTGCATACACAAATTATATGTGTCGGAGACTTTTAATATGAATTAGATCACGGAAGCATGAAAACGATGAACTATTAAATTGAAAAAAAAAACACGAAACAAACGATATGTTATCAAAAAACGAAAACAACGAAAAATGATGATTACATATTCAATAGATAGGCAAACAGAGTATACATGTTGTGAACGTGAAGGATACGAAAAAAAAACGAAACACTACAAGTGTAAACATAATGAAATCAAATATCCTAGTATCAGACGTAAAAAAAAACACCAACCGTTTTCCATGTCCAACGGCGGTCCACCAACGCTTTCGCTCAGTCGTGGATCAGTTACGGTGAAGTAGATTTCCTGCTTGAGGCCGGGAGCGATTGCTCCCGGTGGAATCTGAAGCGATACGTTCCAAATCGGATCCGCCAGGATACCGCCGGAAGAGTCAAAGAGTCCTCGTCGAGTAATGGGTTGCCTCGGAGGCGGAAGGCCCAGAGACATTTCACTTGCAAATGGTGTGCTGTGAGCGTTCGGGGGCCCTATCGGAAGACTCATTTGCGAGGTATACTGAGTTTCCATCGAGGTGCGGCTGTTGTAGACTTCCGGTGGTATATTTGAGCTGGTTGTGGGGCTGTCAGTTGTGGATACAGGTGGTGGAGGAGGTTGAAAAGCTGGCGGTGCCGACAGAGGAGCCGTACGTTTCAAAAAGTTTGAAATGTGTGTTGAACGTGCATTGATAGGTGAGGTGATTTTTATCTGACTGGCGACAGCGGCCGCTTTCTGAAGGTCGGACTCGTTTGTTCTAGTGAGAGTGTCATCATCATCGTCGTCCTCCGATATTGCCAAAGGCGCCTTGGTCGTTTCGTCATTATCGGAGTTCATCTCGGTAGCTTCAACATGGTCTGACTCGTTGACAACCGTTCTATTGACGGAATCGTCTTCAGTAATGTTTTCCTCCAATTTGTTCTCACTTATTTGCAAACTACTCAAGTCCAGTGAGGAAGCACCATCAACTTCGTTTTTAGATTCGTAAATTGGTTCGTGCTTGAGTTCCCTTCTCGAAGAATACTCTGGCTCTGCCATAGATTCCATGGCCTCCCGTCTGGATTGGTAGATTTGATCTCTGAGTTGCGTGCGAGGTTTGATACCTTTTTCCTTCATTTCCTTTCGCGTGGAATATGTAGAACTTGCCGGAGAATTGGGAGAACTTGAGCTTGATTCAGTTGCTTCCTTCACGCGACTTGAGGTACTCGGTGAGTTACTACGGTCATGCTGTTGAGTTTGAACCATCTCCAACCTACTTTGCTGTATACGATCTTGCATTTGTTTTTTGCTCTGGTAAAGATGATCTCTGTGCATTTCCTTCCGGCTCTGATAGACGGGATCATCAGTGGAGCGCCGGACGTGATCGCGAGCTTCATTGTACATGTACGAACCGCTTTTGCTCTGGTAGATGGATTCGTCGTTCAACGACGTGTTCATCTCCAAACGGTATCTATCGGATCCCATTCTCCTCCGGTTTAGATTGCTGAAGCTCGGCGATGGAACGCTACGATCAGCCATGCTGTGACGACGGACTATTCTTCGACCAGTCGTGTTTGATCCTGAACCTGGCATTAGAGCCGGTCGCGAGCGCTCCAATTCAATCAAAGCTCTGTTTGCGTACAGATTTTCCTGTTCTCGGTCGTAGTATCCACCTGCTCCACCGTAGTTGTCGTAAATGGAATCAGTTTCGAGATTTTGGTAGGTGCTATTCGGATCTTTGGGATAGTAGGGCTCATGCCGTTGGTATTCCTGCATATGATGTGGCGGTGGTGGTGGCGACATATGTTGCCTCGGATCATTGTAATACTGCTGTGCGTAGTACTGCTGTCGTGGATCATACGGTGGCTCTTGGAACCGTGTGTCGATGATCCGTGCGGAACGTGAATCCATCATGGAATGCTGCCGCTTCAATATAGGTCGAAGCTTCTTGTCAGCCTCGGCAAGACTCACTTGCCGTCGTAATGGTCTAGTTGATTTGATAAATGCATTTTTGATCGCTTTCAGGGGAGATTTGAGAATATTCTTTCTCGGCGGTTTGGCCGGAAGCTCCGGTGGGAGTGAGGGGTGAGGCATATTTCTGTGTACGTACGGATCATAACCGGATGTTCCTGGTATTGGAGGGAGAGGTTGCTGCTGCTGCTGGCGAAGACGTTCTTGATAGATAAGGTTCTGTTGATGTTGGTTGAACTCGTGTATTGACATCATCGGCTCCATTTCGCTGCGGAAGTATTCGTTAGGTGATGGAATAAATTTTGATTATGGACATCGATTGATTTGATTTCTTGGGCTAGTTTCAAGAGGAAGGGATATCTGCTCAATGAAATTAATGCATGACACATGCACTAACTTTTCCCCCATTTCGATTAACGGTTTCGTGAAGTTTACTGGCGAATGGGAGTGTACTTACGCAAAGCTATATTTGTATTTCCTTCAATCGTTCGTTACATGTTAACCGTGTGAGAGATTCGAGTTCATAATTAGAAAGACATCGTTCAAATATCGCACTCGCACAGCTACACACATACACACATACAAGTTGCTGCAAAAGCTCATTCATACACATTCTGTACCGGCACCGATTTTGAATTAAGGGGTTACTAAATAGCTAAACGGGTTAGAGGAAGTGATGAAATCCTATCAGAGATATTGAGTCATTGCGAAATTGGATGGATCTAATTGCGGTCTGTGTTTCTGTTGTGGGCCTATCGGCAAAACCCACAATTTTCCCATGCCAACGATATTTAGCAATCCATTCAGTTAAATTTCAGAATTGGACAGAAATGTTTTAAGCCTGAGTTCTAGCGATATGTCCATGATAGAAACAGTCTGATATTCGGTTCAGAAGTCCCAATACTTTCTACAACTTAAGTTTTGAGGAAACTAGACAAGGGACAATATCAAACACCCATTTTTACCGTTATCTTTTTGACACAATTCAATCAAACTGAAACAACAGATCATTGAACGAGGATAAGTTAGGTATTTGGAGTTTTTAGATAAATTGTGTTCCATTTAACCATGTCCTAGTTTTCAACCCCTCCTTGGGAAATTGTTGATTTATCAGAGTAGGGTAATCAACTCTGCACACTGTGCCAAAACACAGCATGACAGTGGCACACTGTTCGGCACGTTGAAAAGTTAAAACAACAAACAAAATTATATAAAATGGCATCACTGCACAGTGGTCCAAACGGTGAAAAACGTGATCGCGTGGAATTACTCCAAAACCATTCATTTGAGGTATAAAGTGACTTCAAAAAAGTTTCTAGGCTTGCAAAGCCTTATCTTTCCATATCTGGTATCCGTTGTTTGATTAATCGCCCTAAAAGTGAGACACAAAATTAAGTTTTTTGTAAAGTGGAAATAGAGGGTTCTGATGTCTTCGGCAGTAGTTGCAGGTAATAACAATACAAGCAACTTTTGTGAAGACAGACGATCCCTTAACTGCCCATAATCGCATATCAGTCCCATATGGATAGGAAATCAAGCAAAGATGGGACTGATATGCAATTATGGGTAGTAAAAATCTGTTTTTCATGTTCTAATGAGTTGTTTATGTTGTTAAAATGAACGGTTATGAAGTAATTCCATGCGATCACGTTTTTCACCGTATGGACCACTGTGCACTGGGGAATCTCCATACCAGGCGGTGGACGAATATTTTTTTTTCTTATGCTGTATTATCTGACAAGTTTTGTATTATGTACCTACAGTAATACTTAAACATCTTTTTGAGGCCCTGATGTCTTCTAGGTTCTCAAAAATTTCCTGGTTCAAGATCTTTATTTTATATAGACTCAGGGTTTATACACACGTTTCCGATTTATTCAACACATCATATAGTGGTAACACTAAGATAGTTAATGCCCTCCATACTATTCGGAAGCTAAGATCTTGATGTTCTACAGGCTCAATAAAGCCTGGAACAATGACCTAAAAATCTTTATGAGATTCATGGAATACATCATGGAATGTTATCATTAAAATATTTATTACTCTCCAAAGTATTATGGAGTTAAGATCTTAATCATCTACAGGCTCAATGAAGTCTTGAAAATCTGTATGAGTTCGTAGAAGCACCATTATGTATTTATTGCTCTAAAAAGCATTCTGGAGTTAAAATCTTGAATACCTACAGGCTCAATGAAGTCTTGAACAATGTCCGAAAAATCTTTATGAGTCCGTGATGTTCAAGGCAGCCTTTAGACAATATTATGTTGTTTCAATAAGATATTTAATGCTTTCTAAACTATTCTCGTGGTAAAATCTTGAAGTTCTACAGGCTCAATGAAGTCTTAAATAATGCCCTGAAAATCTTTTTGAAGTTCAAGAGAGTTTTATAACAACAACACTTTTTTACACAGACAGATATTTAATGCACATGGATGAGAAATGCATCGAATGTTATATAATACAAAATATTCAGTTTTCCGTCCACATGAAAAATATACAAGTATTTGGCCTTTTTGTACGTAACAAATGGCTAACAAACAGCTTAAATGTTTGTTTTTTAAGGTGTAGGTAGATTTTAGATAAAAATATCCGGTGAGGATAAAAAATTTAAGGTAGGGGAAATTCTCCCCTTCCCGGTATTATTGTTGCTTTGCGTGGGCGTACTTTGGTTTACGTGAAAAGGGCTTTGAAAGTGTTGTTAACAAAAGATGATAGGACATTTTCAAATGTTACGCGAGAATTTCAGGGTTGCCTAGTTCAAGGAATATTGACAACTTGATAGACATACTTCGGCACTTCCCTTGGTACAGCTAAACTATCTGATACAGATTGATGTGTGCAGAGTGGAAAACTCCTTGATTCAAGCTGGTTTAAAATAGGTTTAAATTGTTTTAAATTATTGAATAGAAATTAATAATAAAAAAATATATCAAGTTTTTGATCGAATTTTACAAAATCCCTATCGTATGTTCAACTAAATTATTAATTTTGTTTAATTTGTTTATTTGACAAGGCTCATTCGCAGTAGCTCACGGAGCCGGAAAATAAATTAATTTAGTTGTCTCAAGTCGTTTCAGCTACTTTTGTCATTCCCTATAAATTTAAAAATTCTTGGAAGTATGTTACAAATAGCCTCTTTTCGTATGTTAAGTTTTAAACCTTCAATGTACCCAGTAAAGAAAACCAACTCATTCTTTGTTTATTAATTTGAATCTTATCAGTATTCGGCATATCATAAAATTGACTTAGCCCTTACATGGACCAATTTTAAATGTATCAAACGAAGAAGTTACAGTACAAACTTTGCGAAAGAAATATGGTAATATTGTTTATGGATTAGTTCCATTATCACTTTTGACGATATTCAGAAATGAAATCATTTAAACATTTTTTGTATAACTTAGTTTTCAGATGTTCCAGGTCATTTGGTCGAATGCTGTTTGGCCGAATACTGATAAGTTTAAAATTTATAAACGTTTGAGGGTTGTTGAAGGATTTTTCTTCACATCAATTTGGATACAGAACGATCGTAAACTATAAATTTACGAAAAATCATAAACTTGACTTAACCCTTTCGGGACCAGCTTTTTATTTACTCTATCGGAATATATATTATCTAGAGATCTAGCAAAATATCTTATTCCAAGATTTTTTAAACTAATTTATGCATGATACCAGGATATCTTGCTCGAGATTCCACAATCTAGATTGATTTTTCAATATACATTTATAAACGTTCTTGGCAACACAGCCTCATCCGTTATTTCATTCTTCAAATTTGTGCTGCTAGTACTTTCCCTTAACCATTTTTTTTTTATTAAAACCAATGATCTTGAAATGTTGAAAAACTCCAGAATCTTAGATATTTATCCAAGTTTGAACTGTTAAATTTATTTTCTAAGTCCGGAATATGAAAAACCCTCGCAAATGATGAAAGCTCTTGGAATCCGACAAAAAATTCCGAGTCTCAATTTGTTTTACTTAGTGCATAGTAGCGTAGCGATGGGTAAACAAAAAATGTTGAATACTCGTAAAGTTGCTTTTAGAAAATGTCTTTAAAATAATCTTCTCGAAAATTTCCTTAGAAGTTTACGAGTGTTCAACTTTTTTTCAATTTATCGTCGCTACGCTACTCTAACTAAGTAACACGGGTAATAAACCTGGGAAGCTATGCAGTAGTATACAGAGTTACACCCCGTTCACACTGTATATCTAGTTTTCATAGAAATAATGTGTATGATGTTTGATATCAATATACTCTATATCACGTGATAAAGGCTATAGTGTGACCGGAGTATTACATTAATTAGCGATTTTCGAAGGGTTTAGGGTGCACATACACTTTTGAAATGATGCATGGCAAACGGTTTTTATCAAACAGAAATCATTAAATTTAATAGTAAGTTCCATCTGATATTTCCATGGCAAGAAGCATTTGTTTATTCAAACATTTCAATCCAAGAAAATCAACTGTAGCTGTATTATAGGGATTAATACATGGACAGGTTAAACCAGATTTCATAAATATCTGCGGACTCAATTGTTAGTAAATAAGTAGTACCTTTCTACCAGAAATACGATTATTAAATGACATGTTTCCATGTAGCGAATGGGTTGATAGATCGAGTTGTCCCACGTAATCAATTTCACAATTTGGATTTGCTAGACACACGAAACGAAATTTTGATTCGATGATTTTCAATGAAGTTCATTTCCATAACAAACATGAGGGTAAAAGTTAGTGCGATTTGTCTTGCCTTGATTCTTTTTGTTTTTGTTTTTGTTTGGCAGAAAAAGGTGTGTATGTGTTCTTGTTTTTTTTGGGAAATGGGAAGCTTTTTCAATATGTAATTTAAATAGGTTAGCGAAACTCCGTAACGGTTAGAAAGAGATGATAATTCATATTAGTAGAATTAGGACAAGTCATGATAGTTTTTGTTCTTGCTATCCGGTAACGTAACGGGTTTCGGAAGGTTGAAAAGCATGCTGTAGAAGGTTAAAGGAACTTCGTTTTATGATTTTTGTTTTGTTAGGAGTAAACGGGTTTCAAAAAGAGCATAAAACTTGTCCAAAAGGAAAAACAAACAGAGGCTGGTATTTGGAGCAGCGATTGTTGAATTTGTGAATCACTTACCGTATGTTATGATGGTGCCCGGCGGTACCAAGCTGAGGTTTTCGGTATAACTCGAATGCCGATCCTCTCTGTTCCCGACTGCCAGCCAAATCGAGCGGATGACGTTCCGATGGGTGTAGTGCTGCCATGTTACCTGATGTGGATGGTTTAACTATAAGAATTATCTTTTCAATGACATTTCGATGATTATGATAATTTTAAATGTTATTATTCATTAGTGATCGTATTTTTAAAATATAACACACCATGTTATCGATTCATATGTTAATGTCATCAAGAACGTTGAACATGATGTTTAGACGGGATCCTTTCGAAATGAATATTTCCAAAGATTAAAAATCGATCGCAGTTTGGAATTCTAAGACATTTTACTAAAATGGGTTGAACATCCTCCTTTTGAGGTTATGATCGTTAATTTTAAAATCAGGTTTGTGTTCAGAGAAATAGGGTGGGTGAGCCAGTAGTGGAGAAACAAAGAAAATTAATTTATTATTAAATAAATAAACGATCTGCATGCAATTTTTATACGTAAATCTATAGCTTTCAACCTCTGTTTTGCTAGAAAAATATTACATTGTAATTAAATTGTATACATTTCTCGAACACTTGTCCTTCACAAATAGGAATACTGTTCCAGTAGTTGTGATAGTTGCTAACTTTAATTCTTATAATAAAGGAAGGTGATGGATAATTAGGCCAAACTCCGTCAGGCCGAAGCTTGTATAATTGTTTACTATTCATCATACGACATTTGCGTTGTTGCAATTTGAGGACATCCTTGATGGAGTAGCACTATCACTTAAAATTTTCCAGGGTAAAAATTTCGGAAAGTACATAAACGTCACGCTTTCCAAATGTAACCACTGCAGCAAGTATGTAAACGAAGAAGAGATTCACCAAATAAGGTCTTAACAGACTACCTTAAGAAATAAAACTCCTCTACAATATCTCGATATATTTTGGAATTTTCCAACATTTTCTCCAAAATTTGTGGTTTAAACCATATTATTCCTGAGCAAAAGTTCAGATTATGATGCATCTACATCATGAAATAATGGAAGTTTACTTTTTACTTACCATTTTATCATGTCCAAAAAAAAAATGATTTTATTTTCCAAATAACTCGAAAACGGCAGGTTATGGAACTTTACTATCTTCAGAAGAGTTGTTCTTAAGATATACAACTTTTCTAAATACATAAAATTTCTACAATTTCAGAGAAAAAAAGTTAGATTGTGGCGTCATCTTTGCGGATGAGTGGTGAACGATCTGTTTACACAAATAGATTTTTTAGTTATAACGTGAAACTTCTTCGAAAGTACCAACCCTCGGAAGAGAGTTTTTGAGACTTTTTGTTGAGGATTTGTCGTCTAAATTGAGTTTCTGACCCACTGTGCGTTGGTTTGAGCACTTCGAATAACTTCTTCGAGTTTCGACGGCCAAGCAGCCATCAATATCTTGGCATGATCTACCAAGGGTACGGTGCATCACTTGTATCAGCTTCGAGGCTCCATCATTGTAGGAGATAGAAGCAGCTATGCATAGCATGAAATTCAGCAAGGCTTCCGGGTTCGATCGCATATCAGCAGAGATACTCAAAGCTTACCCCCTTTGCTATCTGCACTAATGTTGCTTAAATTATTCTGTATTTTATTTATTTATTTCGTCAACCAACGTAGACTAGTACATATCTGGGACACCGCGACTTTTCCAACCAACTAGATACAGGGGTCTGATTGAACGTCCCAATCAATGTGACAATTCGATAGGCATCATGTATGTGTACATTGTATGGGCAAATTTTTCGACATCCCTGGGCATAGACTATGATTGTACTTGCCACACAATTATACTAATGCAGAAATGGTACAAGCATCGAAAGCTCCCAATTAATAACTGTGGAAGTGCATCTAGAACATTAAGTTGCTAGCACGCAATTAGCTAATATGCGATAGCAATAAGCAGACGGCAGGATCAAGGCATACATAGAAGCACGAATCAAGAAGGCTAGGGCTGTCCTTGCGAACATACGAACTATCTGGAAATCAAATCATATTAGTGGACCCACTCAAACCAGCGAGAAATCTTTTCTGATATACGCCGGGGAAACATGATGAGTGTCAGCAGAGAACACTCAAAAGCTGCAGGTCTATATTAACTGATACCTGTGGTATAATTCGTGCTTGGTGGCCTTACAGTTGGATTCCGAATGCCGAGCTCTCTACGGTCGATTACATCTGATGCTGATATCAACAGAAAATTCGAGAATGGATGGAAGTGAAGCCGACTGCCATACACTACCAGTGGCTGAAATTAAAACTGCAAGCAAGCGCATCAGGACATCACAGCAGATGTAAACCCAGGGGCTCACGAAGGTGGAGCTTCAACCAAGAAATCAAGAAATTCAACAGAAATCTGAACTGGGCCCAGGGCAACACAAAAGCAAATAGCCGCCCAGGATGGAAGTTTTTCACGACGAACGTATACGCCACTGTAGGTGCGCTGGATACAGTGAGTGCTACTAATTTATTCGAATTTAATGGTATTTTGGTGAATTTGTGCAATGAATATATTCAATAGTGCAATTATCGACACATGTAGTGAGAGTGCATTGGAAATTAATATTTCAGTAACAACTTGTCAGAAAGGCCAGACTCGAAATGTAAGCAATGACTTTAAACGCCGATGACTCAAAACTCACAATGGATGTCTTGCAAGCTTGCGCTTGCGTTTGCGTGGATGTGTTGTGATTCGTGTAAAATCGATATCATTGTTTACATTTTGACATGTTGTTACTGATTTGTCAAGTTTGTCAGTAGGATTAGTATAGTATGTTGGTGTGCGTGTGTATGTGTTACCTATTCCATGATTTGGGCCCCCGCTACCTCTATGCATGTAGTTATTTCCGTAAGGATGATGTGCGTTACTGTTATAACCATTGTTATGACCCATTCCCATGTCGCGGCCGGAATTACCCATGTAGTGTGACTGTGCACCATTGCTGGTACCGTTGTATCCATTGTAGACATTTCCGCCATATTGGCCATAGGGATGCATTTGCGATGGATGGTTTCCACCTCCAGGCATCATGTGACTATTGTTGGGTGAACTTGGTACGTTATGAGCCACACCCTGTTGGTAGTGTGATGACATCGATGGGTAGTAAAATCCATTCGGCGATCGTGGGGATATTGGTTCCTGGAAAGGAAGTTATTGAAGAATTTTAGCTCAAAAATTGTTCTGTAAAGTGTATTTCTTCTAGATTTCTTCCAGGCATAAGCTTACCCCATTATCCCATTGACCGGAGCTCATCGGTCCGTTACCGGGACCTCCATTACTGCCACCGATTGGTGGACGGTAGTTCTTAGGTTTTGGCGGTGGCACTGGCTTAAATGGCATTCCGTTGTTTCCGTTTGCCGGAGGAGTTCCCAGCATTGGAGGCGGAACCTTGCTTGGCTTGGAGTAATCCGCTTGTGTGGCAGAATTGTTTCGGCTGTTGTTGGGGGTAGTTGCGTGTCGTATGCGTGTGTATGGATAGTATATGAAACGGAAGGGATGAAAACCGAAATAATGTATGCGATTAACAAAAAAACAATAATGCACTTGTGGGAACATTTTTCAATAACTAAGGGTAACAATGTGAACGAGAAAGATGCGGCGGAAGTGAAGTCGAGATTTATGATAGTGCAATAAGAAAGATTTTGTGGTAAATTTTAGTGGATAGAGGGACGGGCTTTTGGTTGAAATACTACGATAGCACCGTGAATAACATTTATTCGTCTGATTTTCGAGGAATGCATATGTATTTGTGAAAGGCACTTCAAACAAGGGTATCATATTTAGAGTAAATCAATCTACGATTATGACAACATAAGCTATAGTAGTGTAGGTTTGGCTGCGATTTGTTACTGAATAGATTCTCTTTGAACTGTTGTCGCATTCTGCAGCGTGAAAAAGACAAAACCCATGTTTACCAGAACGTTCTCTTCGCCATACTTAATTTTCATAGAGAGTATGCAGAACTGTTGACCTTTTTTTATTCTGTTACTAACCTGTATTTTCCATAATCTGTTTTGGTTTCAATGATATGTTTTCTTGGACTCTCAAGAGCCAAATTCGATGGACGCTGAGGAATATTCATGCCACCTGGGCGTTCTCCTGAGTTCCTTGGCGTTAGTGGATCATGCGCACCTTCAATGAAATGACGAATTACCATGTAAAATATGTGATTAAATCAACCTATCCTTACCATTAAAATTGTTCCTATCTGGATGAATGTGTCCACCTCTGGGAGGCGTCATAAGCAGATCATTACTGCCTGCACTGCGGTTATAGTCCGATACGTTTGACTGGTTTGGTGTCAAACCGGTGCCGTTTCGAGCACTGCAAAGTGATACAAAGGATACATTCATTAACTTTAAAATTGAATTACGCAAATAACTGATATTATCTAAATTCCTAAAGAAAACCGTCCCTGACGCCATTACGTAATAAGACTTACTTCGGCACCGATTTAAGATCATCGGGTGCATTGGGTCCTAACCTCATATTCTGCGCCGTCAGCTGTGATGTGTTGTACGAATCATAACTCGATACACTATCGTATGATCCGTTCGCTTTGTTCGGCGTGGTCGGATTACCTGGTGGTGGCGGCTGACTGGAACGTGTTCGATCCAGTGATGAGTTCTGTGCTCGTTCCAGAGAACTCAATCCATTTGTAATGGTGCCTCGTTTCTCTGGGGTAGGACCGAGCATCTGACTTCGGGTGGCATAATCATCTGCCGTTTGGTCCAGGTTGTCTGTGGACGCTTTGTTACCGAATAACCGTTCCTGGGCCGATCGACCAAGTGTACCACCGGTACTGGAGTTTCTGGACGGAAGCGACGAACCTGGGGTGCTGGGTGTGGTTGTATTTGGAGGCTTCGATGCACGGTCTATCCGGGGCGGTAAATCTGGAACTAACGTTGAAAGTTTCATTTACTTCATGGCTTTGGAGCTTAGTCCACTTGCGTATTACCTGGACCGAAATGGCTCGCCACGGAGCTATTGTGTTGTATGGGAGGCGGTGGCCTTGATGAGCCATATATGGCATCTTCAGGTGGTAACGGTGCTCCTATATTGCCCTTTGCCGAAAACCCATACTTGTTGTCTACGGTCATCCGCCGTGGGTGAGCCGAGTGATCGTATGGATTCTTCGTAAGTGGTAAATAAAGTAATGTTAAATATTGCAAGAAACTACATGAATCTGCCCAAATTTTCATTGTATTCCTCCGCTACTTCGGTATTTACAGAGCATGAATGATATGATATCTCATTTTATCAAAACTCATGCTGATAACAGGGCACAGCAAATTCTGAAATACCTTGAAAAAGACCAAAAAGGGTTTCCTTCGATCAATTTCAAGACTAAGATCCATTATTAGCCAAACTGGCTAAATTTGAAAAAGGTATCTGACCGGGAGGATGTGGATAAAATCTAATTCGGGTGAAAAATTCACCCTGCGACATTTTTATTGAAATAATTTGTTTAAAAACCTACACACTAAGAAAAAAGACCCACGTTTACTTTTGACTTGTTTGTCTCCTTTTCTCCTTCTAATGTTGTCATTATCAGTATATTCATATTTACCTACTTTTGGGTACAACTAACTTACTTTTGGGTAGAAAGCGAGTGTAAAATTCCATACGAATTACACACAAGTGAATGTAAACTACTTTGACCCACTTTACTTACTTTTGGCTTCCTGCACTATAGTGCCGAGATGCATGAAAAGAACTTACTTTTGGGTGCTTTTTTCTTACAGTGTAGTTACAGATATTGATAGCCTACTTTAATTCCACGCTTATTTTGGCGTCGAATCGGTTCGTGCTCTTTATAAGACTCGATAAGGTACACCGGGGCCTCCCTTACCTCAGATGATCATGCTGGAGGTGGCTGGGTTCGATTCCCGGTTCGGTCTAGAGTTTTTTTCGGGTTGGAAATTTTATCGACTTCCCTGGGCATAGAGTTATAATCAGTCTTCACGAAACACAGGCAGCGTTAAGCTTGAGTTCCAATTTCTTCACCACGCGTCAGCTGAACGCACGTGTTGTGGTTTGAACTCAGGTGTACTTTACAATCAAACGTGATACTTCGTACCTGTACGGAAGTGTGAACATCGAGGCTTGCTATGTTGCAACAGAAAGGGCAGACGAAATCGATGAACGCTTCTTATACGCCTTTAGCCTACACGGAGATGAAAACTACCCAAAATTATGTACTTTTCCCTCAATTCCGGGGTTCAGCCCAATAACCCAAATTAGAGAAAATCACATATAGTAGTTTCCATTTAACACCAGCAAAAAATACTTACTCTTAAGTATATTCTACCCAAAATTAAGTTTAATTCACGTAAATTTGAGAATATGCAATTTACTCAAAAGTAACTTATTGGACTAAACTATATCGTTGGGTCGAATCTCTCGATCCTTTTGTGACAGCAATAAAGAGTGCAAGTGAGAGGCTGAACTCAATATTAAGTAAAAAGAACTCAAATTTTGGGTAATATTTTTTCTCCGTGTACACGTCTTTCAGAGTAATGAATGACAGACGAGTGGTGAACATGCAGGTCTAATACACCCAAAGTTCATGGTTCGAGCCTGAATTGTTACCATTTATACTTCTTTTTAATATTATTCATTATTTCCAACGCCTGGTTGCTGCACTTGAGTTCTCGGACGATGTTTAAACGCTGCAGCAAACGACGTACGAACTTAAACATTGTACGTTCAACACACACGTTGAGGTGTGTGTTCGTTTGATGGAGTGCACGCGTGAATGCAGAGTGCATGCTTATGTTAGTTCAAAGCCTGCTGCACATCGTTGCTAGGCTGCACAGTGAAGACTGGTTATTAGACTGATGCAAAATTTGAAATTTTCGCTTCACAGTGTTCAAACGGTTTCAAATCGGGTTCTGATTAGCCTCCGAAAGTTTAAACTCATTTAGTGAGAAACTGACTTGGCACAAACCATTTGAAGTTTGTATGGAAATTACTATGGGAAAACAAAACTTTTTGTTCATTGTCTTCTAGCCTTTTTTACATATTGTACTGTTAACAAATTCTATTGCTATTCTTATCAGCTACAACTTTGCAGAAAATCGTTTTTCAGCCAAACGTCAAATAAAATGGCAAGATTAAGCAACTGTATTGTTGGCAACACTGTATTCTGCAGTGTGACATAGTAGCCATGATTTTTGTCCTCTATTCTACGCACCATAAACACCAATGTTGCCTGATGAACAGTTGATTGAGCATAATCATAAGACATCAGTGACTTGAATCATTAATAATTTTTGTTCCTTACATTTGATCGAAAAGTGCTATTGTTTTCTAAAGTAGAGTGAACGGGTGAATTTTGAGATAGATATGAATCGAAATTATGGTTTCTTTATAGTAATTCCCATATAAACTTCAAATCGTTTGTGCCAAGTCAGTTTCTCACTACATGAGTTCAAATTTTGGGAAGCTAATCAGGGCCCAATTTGAAACCGTTTGAGCACTGTGGAGCGGAAATTTAAAATTTTGCATCAGTCTACTGGTTATAATTGTATAATTGTACTTGGCACACAATTATACGAATACAAAAATAGTACACACAAGCTCTCAATTAATAACTGTGGAAGTGCATCTAGAACAATAAGTTGAGAGCACACAATAAGCTAATATGCGATAAGCTATAAGCTTGAAATGTGAAGAAGGAGAAAGGAATGTACACCGGGGCACCGGGTTTTTTCGTGAAAGCGTCTTCTATCATGGAAAAAAAAAATTATAATTAAGAACGAAGAAACTTAAATGTTTACAAGGATACAAATATATAGTAGTGTGTTTTAATTCATCTTACCCCATACAGTGGGGTCAGTTGAAACAAATATGTTTGACGTTGAAAATTCTCATCTATTTTCTCCTAAAACATGTATGTTGATGAATAAAATAATCTTTCGTTGACTTTATAAACCCCTGATGGGAATACAATAATTCCCCGCAGAAGGAGGTGGGTTGTGGAACCAAAAACATAACCATACATCCTATTGTTCACAGTTATCTCTACAATAAATCTATTGTATTGCATGATCATAGTATTACCTCAATAAGAGTACCACATACTGTCTGTGAGTTTACAATGCATTTCTGTGATATCATAAATTTCAACAATAGGATAATATTAAAATGTATCGGATAGAGCTTAATAAAAAACAATTTTAACTGCAGAACAACTGATATCGCCAAATTTTACTTTATGCAGCAAAATACAAGCTTATTCAGCTTTTAACTAACTGAATTAGCAGTTGGAATAAGTTTAAAAAAAAGTATTATTTTTCGATAAGTTTCGAAAGTTTGCGAAATTTAAGGATGTGGTTTTTGCAAAGCTGGTTTAAGGATGTGGTTTTTGCAAAGGTCATTGAGGATATCGGTAACTGATGAATGATGAAAGGTTCTCACGTGTAAATAAATCCGAGAAAAATACAGAAAAAAAACCACTGCCACACTAATTTCGATCGATTGAGTTTTATACATTTTGAGGTTACTACAGTAACCAAGGAAAATGATGTGCCCGTTAGTGTGCGTGCGTTAATAGATTATAGGGATAGATTGAATACCCGCACACACACATGTATATCAGCACTCATATCATGTTTTGATAATTTCCAAGAATCCAGGAATCCATTATGCGACTTCCGGTTTTCCAAAATGTGTCAGACATTCTACAATATGGATATTTTTGGAACGGAGAAGGCACATTCTTCTTCTTCTTCTTGGGACTTTAAGCCGGCCATTAAATTAGTGTTCTAGTTGTCAATTGAGAGCTTTCTAAGCCTGTACCATTTTCGTTAAGGGGGGGAGTACACTTTGATTTAAAAAAAATGCATTTTTTTTGGCTTAAAATGTTTCTTGGGATGTATAAGTTAATTTAGAAAAGACTCCAAGTCCGCCAGAATATTCCTTACCGCTTTACGAAGCGATTTCCTAAAACATGTACCGGCGCGCTGAGAGAGCAATTTTATCTTTAAACGCGTTTATCTCGAAACGGGGTTTTTCAAACTGGCGTGGGAAATAACTCTAACCAGTTATCATCAAATTTGGATATCGCCTAGGTTTTCTTGTTCAGAATTAAATTCTGCTTAGAAATACGTATCCACATTTTCGATTTTGTCAAAAATGGATTTTTAATCCACGATTTTGTAAGCATTTTAAGGGGAAAAAAAAACTTTTTTTTCCTAAGGCCACAAATTTTGAAAAAATTAATTTAAAAAAAATCGGAATACGTATTTCTAACCCAAATTTCATTGCTAATCAGGATTTTTGTTCGATTTATGTTCCAGGATCACATGGAAAGGAGTATTTTCCCACGCCGTTTTCCGACTTCCGCGCGACCTGGTGCACCGGCCACGGGGAGACGCCAATCGAGTTCAAAAAATACAAATTGTAGTTCGAAGGATGACTAATAAATGGGTTATAACATATCTCCCTGAGTGTTTTATTGCTTAAAAAAATTAACGAAAATGCCTTACTTTTTGGACGTTAAAAGTGTACTACTCCCTTAAGAGAGGCCCAGTGATGCCAGATTACTCCGAGATCAATTCGTTAAGTATCCTAGGTTTGGAAAGTGTTGAACGATGGGTGGGACTTTGACATGGCACCCATTGGGGTTACGGAGAGCACCCATTCGCATAAAAAGTGCTCCACGGAGACGGCGCACAGAGGATGTAAGATAGATTGGTCAAAAGTGAAAAACACGAAAATGTTTATACACAAATCTATTATTTGTCTTTGTTTGCATCGAGTAAACTTGCTTATTCCGGCACTTTTTTTAAAACGTTTTTCCCCAGTACGTATTTCTTCACAAATAAGTGTTCCGTGAGATTATAGCATGATTCATCAGTATTCATAAGCATATATGCATCATGTTATAATATCATTAATTGATTTGGATTTAGGAAACATCTGTTTTAGTATAATATTTACTTTTTTAAATCCACAAAAAAGGGAGTAATCAAGTTAATGAAACTTAAAACCACATAAAAGATCTTACTTATACAATTACGTTGCAAAAAAAAACATCCGAACTCATTCGAATTTCAGCGCTAGACTGTTTTGAAGTCATCCCCTCTGCGAGCTTAAAAATATAAACAGTTCATATTGACTACACATTTTGTATGTTAACAAATCTTATGACATCTGGTCCGGATTGGCATTAGCGAGCCATTTGAAAACTGTATGTTTCTCATAATTTTGGAGTAAATTTGGTAAATTTTCAGAAAATGTATCAGATACCCTACAATTTATGGATATTTTAGGAGCGGGAACGAAATGCACTGTCCACAAAAGCATAACTGTCCCATCTCTGCTTGACTAACTATTCATATGGGACAGTTATACATTTATGTGTAATGCAGAGGTCGAACATTTAAGACAGAAGTCATTGTGATGGCCAATGTCCGAAAATGTGTCAATATACCTCGGAACAAAAATGACGTGTAGAGGTCAAACGTTGATGTCCGACATTATTTTGGAATCCAATACGGTGTCTTCAGGTCCAGTTAAAAGTCAGATATCAAACAATATGGATATTTTAAGATCCCTCGCAGACGACGACGACGACGACGACGACGAAAGTTAGAATTGAGTTTGCCCAGTGTTTTAGAGACGTTATTCCAAAAATCACGAAAATCCATGGTTGTACCCCAGAAGGAACCAAACCCTTTGGGGCAAAATCGAAAAGGCAGATTTTAAACATATTAAAATGAGTGTTTTGGCGAGGTTTTGTTACAGTTTTTGGATTTTTTGTATAAACTTGAACTGGAATGATCCATGTTTGGATATCATGCTGATCTGACATTTGGTTCCGGAGATATGACAAAAATAGTTAAATTTACCCACTTATTTCTACGCATCTTACTTACGAGGAAGGCACGAAAGCTGGATTAATGTTTTATTTATATAAAAGCTCAGCAAGTTTTGATTTGACACTAAATGTACACGTAGGAATACGAATGAATATTTGGGCCTTTAGACGGACTGTAATAGGTGAAATGTTACGAATGAATAAATGTACAAATTCAACAGTTATTCTATGAGATGTATGTATGAATGGGGAACACAGTTGAGCGATAAAATAGAAAAGAATATATATAATAATAAACAGGGATGCTGTTAGCTTACCGTGTATGGTGGTGGCATTCCGTCACCGAGTTCTCTATCCCTATCCAAGTTATCCTGATTAGTGGCGATCGAAGGGTCAGAGCTTGACTTCACCAATTGCGGTAAGTTGCCTAATGATAATGAGGCCGATGGTCCCGGGCTCAGTTCCAGGTCCGATTCCGGACTTGAGGCGTAGGACAGTCGAGAGGTGGTCATGGGGAATAGGAAATCATCGGACAGGGATTCTACTGGCTGCTCGCGATACAAGCGAATACAAGGGAATTGATTTTGAGGTAGTGAGGTTTTAGAAATCATGAGATGGTGGAATACACGTACGGGTGGTTGAGATGAGTAATGACGACGATGAAAAATATGATTTTGTGTAATTTTGTTTCATTATTATTAGTGTTGAATTTGTTTTGTTTGTAGAAAGCAGGGACGAATATATGAAAATAAAACAGAGAAAAATCACACTGTTAGACTCCTTGGACAAAATCGTTTGATAAAACAATGTACGCTTTATAATGATGTTAGAATTAGGTTAGCTTTAATTCATGCAGAGTAAGTACATCTGTTAAAATATTTCAGTAAACGAAATTAAGCTTAAGACGATATATGACGTTATATTTGAGTTAAATTTCAGTTATCGATGTATGCAAAGCCGTGTTTGTCATGCACGAGACCGTTAGACTTCCGATGTGGATTAATTTTAGCATTATGGATATTAAGTCGATTGATGTCAGTGATTCTACAGTTCTGTACTACTTGTTCATTGCTAGTATCACCATTCAACACCGACGGATGGTTAGTCATATTGTTAGAATCAGTTCCAGGGGCAATTGAGGGAGATTGATTGTTATAATAAGGAGTAGCTCGTTCAATGCGTATATTATTGTCAATGTCAGAGAGCTGATCGACGCTTGGCGTGGAAGACTTCCCGAATGACGTTTGCAAACTTAGTGATGAAGGTTGCCTTGCTGGGTTCGTAAGTCTTGGCATTGAAGTGGCGTGGCTCAATTGGTTATGTATGGGCATTGGGAGATAGTTATTGTTTGGGTTAGCAGATGGTTGTGATGCACTTTGAGGGTTAGGATGTTGTAATTGATTTTCGCCTTGTTGATATGACGGCACAGTGGGTACAGTTGGTATGGGTACAGAATGTAGTTGGGGGTGCGGATATTGATTAGCAGATGAAGATGGCCAATTTACTGGCATTGAATAGCGATATGGGTAACGGGGATAGTTCACATATCTACTAGGAGATGGCACATAGCTGCAGCACGATAGCGGACAAGGTGGTTGAAGATAAGGTAGAAATATGTCCGATGTGAATTCCACCCGCTGAATGTGATATAGGAAGCAACGTGAGGAAGTAAACGAAATTATTGTTTGTCCCATAACCAGAATCTAGAAGTACATTATGCTTGTTGAAACTCGAGATTGTACACCCACAAAATTGACGAAATGCATCGATCTATTGAAACAGGCTTGTATAATTATTGAGGCGCGACTTTGCGGAATTATCGTGATCCTGACCAGATATTGAATCAAGGCAAGCTTCGATAATATTCCCTAAACAAAAAATGGCACTTGAATCAATCAGAAATTTCAATTTAAATAAGCTCCACTGTACATCACATTGTAACACAGATAATGCACAAATGTTAGAACACGGGATTGTGCCAACTTAGCAGTATGCTGTGTTCTGCATTATTTATGTTATTTTGAAAGGCAACGGCCGCGTAACTCTCACGCAAAATAGTTTTGTTTAAGTACCGATAGAAGTCGGCACACACGTCCGCACCTGATGGAAAACAAGTGCTAAAGCCTCACTAAGTGGTTCATTTCCGAGAATGGGGCTATTCATGTTTATAGCAGAACATCTTAGCAGATAAAATTATGTGCATGTTTTTCTGCAACAAACGCGGTTGATGACATAACTTGATCGAAACGGTAGAATGACATAACATAAATTTCCCCAATTGATTTACATGTATCATCAACTCCATGCGTTGCAAGCAAACTTGCAAACAGTTTTATCGTTTTGCTTACACCGTTCCGATTAAGCTATGCTGTTGAGAGAGTTTGTCATGACAATCGTCGCAAGTATTTTGTCTATTTGTAGCTTGCTCTCTGTGTTTTGATACCCTGGTCAGTATGTAACAAAGTTAGGCTTTTGCCTGGTGCTTTTAAGAGGTATAGTCATGGGTTAGCATTCGAGGATAGTTTGGATGGTCTAGGACAACCCAAAACAAAATTTGCCAACTTTTGGTGTGTTTTCTGAACTACCAGACTAGGTGGTAGTCGCATATTAATTTTACAGTTAATTGTCGCATATTCTACACAGTTTCATATACACATGGAAAATTATACGTCCACCGGCAGTGAAGCCCAGGGCCAGAGGTCGATTTGGTAGATCGTACAACGAGGGTTGAATGGTTACTATCTTTATTTCACTTTCCCAAATATCAATTTTCAGAGAATACGCGAAGCACTAGTAGAAGCTTGACGAAGCACGATCTGAAACTGAATTGAAATTGATTGAAACTTTTTCCTCCATTAGCCATGTATTTCTGCATTTCACCTATGAAAGCTCAATTTCTGCATGAAATTCTGTCAGAGCTGCAGTCAAGTTTTTGGGTGTACAATTCTTCAAAAGTGATCGAACCCCTCCTTTATGGATTTATCGATTACTAAGTGAGTCACCTTTTTGAGTCACTGAATAAGAGTGAATCGATCACGTTCAGAAGTTGGATGATGCTTTAATATATAACTGTAAAAATGCACACAATGCTAACGTCTACAATCTTTCCAAAGCTATCATTTAAAGTACCATAACCAAGATTTTAAACTACACATTAAACATCAAAAGCTACAATATACCAGAGAACTAATGTCATTCTATAAACAATCATTGAAACAAATCATACCTTCGTCTCGGACATCCACACAGCACCGCTCTGTTGCTGATCGATCGAATCCCGCAGTTTCCTGTACCACGTATCCGGATCGTTCAGGTTGATCGTAGTGCTGAACACATGAGACCACAGGCGTTCGAGTTTTTGGCACTGTTCAAACAATTTTTTACTACTTTTATGCTGCGATTTCGGCAAACCATGTCGCAGCTGCTTGATGCTATGTTTGGTGTCCGCTTTCAGGAAGATGACTATCGGATAGAATTGTGCATAGTTTAGCCGATCCACGGCGTTGGGTGTGATGTCCAAGAGGGCATGCTTGCCACGATCCATGATGTCCCGGATGTTCGATAGTCGCACAATACCGCCACATTTCGACGATCCCTTGTCATCATCTTGCAATGGAGCCGTGTATTTATCGGAGAAGTCCTTGACGAGTCTTTCCCGGGCAATGTCGGCGACCGGTCCGAACAAAACAACAGGGCGAACGAATCCAGGATGTCGTAAAACAACTCGTTCGTAGGCAGGGAACTTTGATATGGAATCCGAGAATACGACATCGTCCCAGTTTTCCCTCGATAACGACTTTGAACGACGATGCGTGGATCTTCGCCTCCGGAAGAAACTGACCCTCGATTCGGAAGCGTTCATCTCTTTCTTCGTGGCATTGAACTGCGCCGTTGCGAGCTCTTCCGCTCGCGCTTTATTAGGTATCACACCACGCTGCAACTCTTGATGACCATGTCCGATGCGTAGAACCTGCCACGCACCAACTACTCCGTTGTACAAAGTATCTATCACCCGGAAAACGTCACCTGCCTTGAACGATAGCTCTCCCTTCGATGGATTCTCGCAGTGGAAATGAGTCTTTATATGAAATGAATCTCCTCGTTGCTGTGCGGTGATGTTGTCATATTCATCCTTACAGTACTGTACAATCAGATCGATACGATCTTGCAGGCTGAGCAGATAGAGTACTGCCTCCTCTCTGGTAACTCCGTTCATGTCCATATCGTTTACTTTCAGAATTTTATCACCCGGCACAAGTCCCTGAGCAGCCGCTGGACTATTCTGCTGGACTGCTGTGACGAAAATACCCACTTCGTTGCCTCCGGACAAACGGATACCGACGGAACCTTCTTTCTGGAATGTGATGTATCGGGGCTCCGAAGTGGGCTTCTCATCATGCAATGGCCGTCTCGTGCTATAAAAGTCCTCCCCTCGTGGGGGAGGTGGTCGGGGTGGCTCATCAACCGTGCTACGCGATCGACTATGTCCACTCCCACTCGCTGCTCCTTCACCTACTCTGCTACTTGTCGCCCCTGGAGGCGTACTGGGTCTGTCTAATTGTTGTAAAGAAATATCTGTTAGTGGACCTCGTGATCTTCCCCGTGGCGTCAGATTGCTTTTATCATCTACTAGTAACGTACTCATGGCAGAAGGTCTGGTAGGCGGTTGAACATACAGGTTCTGTCCGGAGTATCCTCCGGTTCCGTTAAGATAGTTTTCATCCATATTGCTACAGTTTGACACTTGAGCTGTATGGGAATAGACAGGCGATTGCATGCCGGAGCTGGTTCCACCACCGAGACCTGCGTTCAACGTGGCACTGGTGGAGTCCCGCAGCACGGCTAGCGTTAATCGTTCTTTGCAACCGTCGATGATCTTTTTCGCTTCCTTTAAACTCATCGAGTCGTTACAGTTGGTATTGTGTATCCTTGTTACAAGGTCGCCCTCTTGCAATGAATAACCGTTGGCAGCTAGCTGATCTTTCGTCTTGGACGAAATTTCCTGGCAGAATAAAAAATAGATTACTCAAGAATATTATTGTGCTCTCCTTGTTAGATCCTGATAAGTGTTGCAAATTCTATATATTATTTATTGTTATCTCATTCCTAGGGATTGTTAAGGACAAGATTGATTGAATCCACAAATTGTCGATCTCATGGCAGATTTTACAAGGCAAACGGCAATTTGTGGACTCTACCACCCCTGTCCTTAAGGACGATGAATCTATGATCACAGGTTCAAACCAGGATTGCGAATTGATAACCGTCGATGACGTCTGCGTTAACGTCGGCAATGCAAATTCACCATTACAGATGTTAACGCTGACCATATCGACGGTTATCGATTAATAACCCTGGACAACAATTCGAAAAAGGACAAAAGGTCGAGTCAAGTGTTAGCCTTCTAACATGCCAAGTATTGGACATTTGGTGATAGTTTTTAACATACATTTTCAGTACAGAAGAATATAGTCAATCAAGATAATGGATTAAGAAAATTGTTGGCGTTGCGAATATTTCCAAGAGCCTGGCAAAACTACAAGATCATAGAACTCATTGCTGTTAATTTTTATTATTCGATTGAAGATGAACCAATACAACCATTCAATCAATTCTGCGCAACGAATTTGCTCATGTCCATCATTTGAACAGCCTCAAACGAACCTCATCGTCACTGTCAATTGATATACAGCAGTGGAGTATGGAAGAAACTCAGAAAAATGGTCCCAAACAGACATGTCGACCCGATGTCGAATCAATGTAAGGCCAATTTTAGGTCGACGCATACCCAATGTCAAAACATATGTCGGGTAAGGAGTCTGGTAGAAGTCAGCTTGGTGTCGGGTTGACCCAGATTTTACATTACACACCCAACCGGGAGATGTAAGATTCGTTTACAATTATGTGGGATTAATCATCAGAGGATGTTAGTGGAGACCGCATGAACCGAGGATGCGATATACTTAGCTGCGGTCCAATGCAAAAAAATTGGAGACCGAAAAATGTAGAGTGTATTAGTGAGGTAAATTCAGGCATAACATTTGATAACGGCACAAAAGCATTTGTAAACAAACTTTCTAAGGCCCTTTACACGCGAACCAAAGCACACCCACACAAACCAATACCACTTTCGGAAAGGTGATAGTTGCCCCTATCCGATGATGTTGTTGGTTTGCGTGGGCGTACTTTGGTTCGCGTGTAAAAGGCCTTAGAAATTTTGTTTCCAATGGTTTTTTGCCGTTATCAAATGTTATGCCTGAATTAGTTATGTCGAAAAAAATAGGAAACAGATTGCCGACTAGACTCAAACCACGAACGTTGCGGTTATCAGACCTGTGCTTTCTCCACTGCTCTCTCCATGCTTCTGAATATGGATAGCCTAAAAGCAAACATGAAGCGCTCAGTTTCTCGCATACTCGACTTCGTATGCTTTTTCTGCTGGAAGGATTCGAGGCAAGTGTGTGCGTCGTTCTACAATGTTCTACAATGTGCGTCGTTCTACAAGCTGGTATGGTATAGTCGAAAGCGTAGATAGAACACGAAATAAAAAAGACGAAAAAACCATTACATCGCCTGCATGGTCAATTTCTAACATTCGTTGCGATGTTCATGAACAGAGGATGATAGGAAACGGAACTAACATTCATTGTAATATATTTTTGGTTTGCGTGCACTCAATTCAATTAAATCAAGCGTTTCTCAAAATGAGAATGATCCCCTTCGTCAAATGACTAAGCAAACTGATTTCACCCATTCGAAGGAGGTGCCTTTGATAGCAGAAAGCTGCTTTTCTCACTTTCATCAAGTATGTTCAATTGATTTTGAGAATTTACAACACTGCATAGAATAATGTCCAAAAAGAGGAGTAGTACAAGATCGCTGAAGCAAACTCAAAAATTTAATGTAGCATTTAACTTATTATAACAAAAAAGGGGGGTAACTTATTATGCACATAGTATGTACTCAAGACAAGTGAGAACGTGGGGTGCGAGAACGGCTAACAGAGATCTCTGAATGCCTAAGTGTGAGGAGATAAAACAGCTGTTGACGATATTTTTTCTCTGGAGATTCGAATTTTAACGCTCTCACATTTAAGCATTCAGAAATCACTTTGGTGGTTCCCATTAGCCTCGCGTTCTTACTTGCCCTGGAAGTACCAGGGCAAGTAAGAACGCGAGGCAAATGGGAACCGGTTTTTAGCGGTTTTTAAAGTGATTTTCAGGATTCCTAGAACAAATTCCTAACAATCTCAAGGAAGATTCTTCAGCATCACCTGAGAGTCCAAACGAGAATCTGGAAAATCTCAAAAGGGATTCCGGAAGAACGCTAAGGAGAATTCCGGAGAATCCCAGAAGGGTTTCTTGAAATTTCCAATTGAGATTTCAAATAAGATTCTGAGAAGACATGGATTCTAATAAATCCCTAGAGAGATTCCAAGGAATTCCATTTCCCCTATCTCTAAAAAGTTTCGGCAGGGTTCCAAAACATCTTGTTTTTGTGAGTAGATTACCATTATCCATTTTATTAAGGTGGTATACATATATGCATAAAGGGCTTATTGTTTGTGAAAGTGACTTTAAAATGCACGTGTATGAACCTTAATTCTTTTTCCCACCAAAATTCCCTTGCCTGAACCCGGATTTGAAATAACCCTGCGCCTGAGGGCGACCCCGGCGTAGTGGTTAACATCCATACCTCTCACGCCAAAGTCACGAGTTTAAATCTCACCCTCGGACAAGTCACGTATGACCCAAGAGTGTTAAAGTGACTATTACACAAAAAAAAATCACCCTGCGCCTTAATTGACTAAGCTAAGGGAGATCTCAAAACATCAAGTTTATCCTTTGGTTTGTTTTTTCCGTCGATCTTGTTTTCCGTGCTGAGCACCAATGCTACCGACGTGCCAGGAAGGCAGCTCCCACACCTGGACCCTACCTATCGACCCATCAACTCATGAACCGGGGACCAACGGCTTTACTTCCCATCCGAAGGAAGGCGTGATCAGAGATGTTATGCCTCAGAACATCCCGGCGGCGCCGGCTGGGATTGAACCCAGGCCTGCTGGGGTGAGATGTAATCACGCTTACCACTACACCACCGGCGCCGTTACATCAAGTTTATATCCTTCGCCATCATGCATTTGAATCTGTTGCTAAATAAGGCTAAGTATTCAAGCGTAATTGGTTCCAATTTACCAAGTTCTTAGAGAACCAAACTGAGAATTTCTGATTTTAAAGTATTTACCCTGTATATTGATGAAACCGAAACTATCGACCTTTTGTCCCTGGGATCATTTATCCAATTCAACTGGAAGTTCCACATTGCTTCACGATATAGTCACCAACTCACCTTAATAAATAATCTACATCCTAAAACGATGCCGAAATCATCTTTCTTGCTCGCTTTCGTAACAATCACTTTGATTTGCTGTTGAGATCCATTATTTCCTAATGCACCCAACCCTAGCCCGGTGGAGCTGAGACTATGCTGGTGCTGATGAGAGTTGCCACCCACCCCACTGGGCACGACGTTACCGCCCGTGGGTTGCATTAAGCTATGATTCGGTACCCGTCGTTTCACCACTAGCGTTACCGTGTTGCCACTATCACGCAGCACTTGTACGGCCGTCGCGTACTCGACGTTCTCCAGCGAGATTCCATTGACCGAAATTATCCGATCGTTAACCCTGGGAAGTAGGTAAGCAAGCATGTGTCGTCGTACGCTATTGCTGCAAGAAGCAAATGATCGATCTTGTACTTACTGTAGTTGCCCCTCCGCTGGACCATGCTTCAGCACATCGCTCACCGCTATCGATGGGTCACCGTTGGCAAAGTGTGGGTTATCCCGTCCGCCGGACACTGCTATTCCGAACCCATATCCGGGTACTCGTGACAGTGTCACAGTGCTGTAGTCCCATGACGTCCGCTCGCTCTGTGTAAGTGAAACAAAGGAAAAATACAAATTATTATCACCGAACAACGGTACAAAATTGAGGTACAAATGATTTATAGTGATTTCCATATGCAGCATATAAAGGATTTTCCCTTATAAGCTCACGACTTTCGTTGCCATAGGTACCATGCTGCGTACGCATTCCGTATAAAATACCAATTTAAACTACAACGATAAGCGGGAAAGTAGGTCCATACCAAAACAGAGAAGAAGAGATAATTTTTAAATAATTCAACCGGCGTGTCTAGACGCGAAAATGCCTCTGCTCCACACACTGATCTCAGTCAGCACAGTACACGGTGAGGTGAGGTGAAAAAACAACCAAAACAACACAACCAACGGTAGCGCACTTGTACCCAGTAGTGCTTTGCACGCGAGTTGTATCTCATAGGAGTTGGTTTAAAATGCGATTGGATTTATGATCAAAACAATAAACGGAATCTTAAGACGGGGTACCATCGACGGCATGGGTGAGCTCGTTATTGAAATATGTATTGGGGAATGGTGAATTTCATCAAATGTTGAATACTTTTATGACTTTTCTTTTAATAAATATTTGACTTGAATATTAATTAGCATTCCTATTGATATCATCAATCTATAGGTATTTGACCGTTGCTTACAGTGGATTAACAATATACTTATTCTAACCTCGGGTAAGCCGCTGGTATTCGGCCTACCTCCTACTAGACATATGAATAAGTGAATTAAAAAATAGATGAACAATGTATTATCCGTTCCGTAAAACTAACGCGATTGAGCCTTCCAAATAAATGAACTAGATAATAACAATAAACTTAGGGGCTGTTTATTAACTACGTGACAATTATCCACGGCTCATGCAAATTTTAAAAATTGTTTATGGACAATTGTCTACGCGGGGGGAGGGGGTTAGAAACTGACCTGTAGAAGAAGAAGCTATTGGACGCAGTACAGTCATATAAGCATGCACTATAAGAAAATCCGTTAACAAATAACAGTTTTTGGGATGAATATTGCTCCTGGTTAGCAGAGATAAACTAGCCCGTGGCTAAAAATCTCATTGATAAAGTTTAAACAAAAAAATGCTCCCGGTTAGATACATCTTATATGATAATCATGTTGGAATAGTTTTCGACGATTTTTTAAGTGTGTAAATTTTTCACGGGTGGAAACAAATATATCCCAACCATAAGATAGTCATACAAATTTGCCTTATACGAACCAAGGTTGCAAAGACTCATTTCAGCTAAAACAATGTTTTTCTAAATTATGAAATAATTAGATGCCATGATCAAATTTTGAATTGGTAGGATACAAGAAGAGGTTGCAAAGAATGTGTTTGACATATTAAACCTGTTTATTTCACTTCATGAGAGTCACAATCAGCGATTTTTCACAAACTCACTCACTCACTCACTCACTCACTCAGCGATCAGCAAATCGCTGATTGTGACTCATAGAAAGCAACATTTACAGGTTTTATGTTTCCAACGCATACTTTGTAACCTCTTCTTGTAAGTTACAAGTAAAACATGCCATCATACCATCGTTTGGTTTTATTATTCCGAAAAACATTATTTTAGCTGAAATGAGTCTTTGCAACCTTGATACGAACCAGTTAATAACAAATATTTGTTTTTGGGATTATTATTGATCCCAGTCTTATACCTGATGTTATATGATTATCTGGCATAAATCATTGAAATAATTGTCAACTAACACACATTTTCCATGAGAAAAATTAAAAGGCTAAATGCCCACACCTTGAACTTAACGCTACCCATCAAATCCTGTGCAACACTTGCGCCATCTTTCTTACACACTTTCATCGACTCTTTCTTCAAATCCTTGTCGTTTTTGAAGACCTTCCCTGTTTTCCGGAGCTTGCCCTTCATAATCGCCCAGACTTTTTTTCTATTGTTCGAAGTTCTGGCGAGTGTGGCGGATTTGCCTCCTTCGGCACAAAAACAACATCGTTGGCTTCGTACCACTCCATCACCGGTTTCGCGTAATGGCACGATGCCAGATCCGGCATCAGAGTGTCACCTTCGTGGGACCGGAGGAAGGACAGCAGGCGCTTCTAGAGGCTTCTTTATAAATTTGGCCGTTGATGGTGCCGGTCGTTATGTACGGCTTGCTGAACTTGCCGCACCCACAGATCGCCTGCCACACTAAGTACTTCTTGGCAAATTTGTCGACCTTCTTCTTCCGGAACTTCTCCGGAACATCCAGGCGGGACTTGCCGACGAAAAACTCCAGGCCGGGGATCTGCTTAGCGTCCGCTTTAATGTACGTCTCGTCGTTCATTACGATGCATTTCGGCTGCACAAACCACTTGCGGTACAGCTTCCTGGCGTGGGATTTGGCCAACGTATTATGTTTATCGGTTCGGTTAGGCGCCTTTCTTACCTTGAAGACATGAAGTCCGGCACGCTTCATTATCTGCTGGACGAACCAGACGAAAGAATTGACCTTCTTAGCCACGTTCCGAATCGAAACGTTTGGCTTGCGCTTGAAGTAATCCCTCACCTTACTTGCGTTCACGGGGTCGATCGTCTTCGTTTTTTTCCGTTGCCAGGGTCGCCGCTGGGTCGTCTGGGTCTCCTCCGTCCTTGAACGATTTTAACACACGGGACACGGTCGAATTGTCGATTCCAAACTGTTTCGCTATCCACCTGTGGGACTGGCTTGGATTTTCCACGACCGATCCCATAATTTTTTGTCGAAGCACTTCTTGCTTGGAAACCATTTCGATGACCACTTGACAGATTGTCACGAGATTTTGCACATGTAAACATTACACTCTAAACTAGTTTTACAAAGCATTTGATTGTCCGGTAATTTTTAATGACTGACAAACAAAATAAATATTATACAAAATATAAGGTACTTTTTTTTAATGACTTTTTAAATACTAGCCTCAAAATTTTGGAATGTCAAGAAGAGACAACATTTTGGAATGTCAAGATAATCAAACGTATCAAATCTTGTTTTTTTTTATGTGATTTTCGGCTATTTTCTACATAGTGTAACAAAAAAGCCTTGTTGTGCTCGATATTGTTCTCTTCAGGATATAAATTGCTAAGCATTGAAAAACATGTGAACTTGCCTTTTATTGGTCCCATTTGATTTATGGAACATAGAAGTTTGTATATTCTTTTCGCTTTTTTTTACACATAATAATGAAATAAAATATTTGTTTAGGAATGTTGATAAGGTGCATAACTTTCTCGATCGGTTGGGCGAACATTTCCAGGGTTTAAGACGTAAAACAAATCAGTGCCAACATTTCAAAGGGGCGTAATTGCTTTTGTAAACAATGGCTTTAGCTGTCGATTTCTCGTATCTTAAAGCTCACTACTTCAAAATAACAATGCTAGATGGTAGAGGAAACATTCCTCTACCTATTGGTGTCATTATTTGTCATAAGTGAGCTTTTATTTGCGAGAAATCGACGGCTAAAGCCATTGTTTACAAATGCAATTACGCCCCTTTGAAATGTTGGCACTGAAATGATAAAATCCATTGTTTTTTCCGAGGATATCTCATTCACAGTAAGCTGTGGAATTTTGACGTCAGTTGTCACAAAAGTTTGAACCAAACAATCGCCGAAGGTTTTTTTTTTTTGCAAATATGCTTTGTCAAAAGATAGTCCTAGCGCCTTCTGAACGGCGAGTTCTGGAACTGGAATGATGTCAAGGGCAGGGCTGCAGAGTCAGACTGTGTCGGATCAGAGTCGGAGGCATTTTTTTTTATGATTCGTACTAAGAGTCACTGTCAATTCTGTTTTTACCGGTGAAATAGAAATAATATCTCTGATTTTGACCCTATATGTAATACATATTCCTCCGACTCCGACCTGACTTCGCAGCCCTGGTTAAAAGATAGTCCTGATGCTCCGCCAATTAAGTGCAAGGATTTTTGTCCAAGAGTGTGGTTCAGTGAAAATTTGTGAAAAGAATGGATTTCGAGTAAGCTCGATGGATAAATTGAATAACTATTTCATAAGTAACAATAACTACAGAGCTGTTAAAAGATTTTCTAAATTTGATCCGCGAAATCTGCGGTTTCTCAACAGAAATCCGCGACTTCAAGTACTAATCCGCGACAGTAAAACTGTTTTCATTGCCGGAAAATAGCATTACAAGCTTATTGAATTTTTGCCTGTTCTCAACTTAGTGTTCTTTGAAGTACTTTCACATTTTAATTGAGAGCTTTCTATGCCTGTACCATCCTATGCCCAAGAAAGTAGAGACATTTTCCAACCCGAAAAATTAATAGACCGGACGGGAATCGAACTCAGTCGCCTCCAGCATGGACTTGCTTTGTAGCTGCGCCTTTTGTAACTTTTTAATTTTTTTTAATAGCATTGTATCATCTTCAGTTATTTCGGTATAGTTTGAATTCTGAGTAATTAGTGAAAATAATAAAACACCCTTACATTATGAGATTCTATTGAATAATATCGGCCTAGATTTGATTAAACATTTTTTTTAAATTAATGCATTTTCATTTCAAATGCAAATTTTCTTGAAAATTAACCTTTGCGTCTCTGACGTATTTTGCTGTCGTAAATGTTGTAGTTACTTTGGCTCTAGTTTTCTCAATTTTTCCTATTAAAACCAAACACCCTTGATTCATAAGTCACATTTGTTGGTCACGTCGCGGTTGTGTATTTACACGGATATTCCTTGGGTTCTGTCCAATGGTGAGACATTTTCATATTTTTTTTTATTTCTAATACGAACCTAGCACTTTTCGGTGCTATGTACCTATACCGGAAATTATAGGTTTTCCAAATCGTCCAGAACATCAGTTGATTTGTTCTACTAGATCAACCAAGACTGCAATAATGTCTGTAGTATCGAAAAATGTACAATCAGATTCGAAGTGTCTATGTGGATCATACATGATCTATTTCCGAGTAATCCAGATGTTGTAGGTTCTTCAAATCGTCCTGGAGTTCAGATAATTTGATCTACTAGATCAACCGAGAT